TTACTACGAATTACTACATTCAAACTTACTATGAACTACTGTGATCACATCTGCAGTGCTGCAGCTTTATCACAGCCTTTATGTGACTTTTATTTCTCATACTGGTAAAGAAATGAGCAGAGATGAGGGCTTAAACCTCCTTCAACAGCTCTGGCACGGCCCAGCCACCCAGCACTGAACTTGTTCACAGCTGTGATATACCACAAGTTCAAAGGAAGCACACTCCCACTTAAAAGCACAGGATAATCCAGCCCATTTCTTTTCACTATGGAAGAATGAATTAAGTGGGAAAAGTCACCCTTAAAAATAAATCTGATTGTCTACTGACCATTAAACAAAATTAACTTAGAAAACCAGCCAATCTATGCATAAGAATTTGAGAAGGGGGTTCTTTCAGCCTTATGAGGCTCAGAGGTAGGGAGGGACTGGGAACAGGAGGGGAATCAACTCTTTGAAAGGGTATATAACAGCAGGACAAGGGGAAATGGATTCAAGTTGAAGGAGGGAAGATTGAGTTTGGATGTCAGGGGGAAGTTCTTTATCATGAGAGCAGTGAGGTGCTGGAACAGCTGCCCAGAGAGGCTGTGATGCCCCGTCCATCCCTGGAGGTGTTCAAGGCCAGGTTGGATGGGGCCCTGGGCAGCCTGGGCTGCTGTGAAATGTGGAGGTTGGTGGCCCTGCGTGTGGCAGGGGGTTGGAGCTTCGTGATCCTTGAGGTCCCTTCCAACCCAACCATTCTGTGATTCCGTGATTCCATGAACAGCAGCTTCTACTAACCTAGAAATGACTCGGATCTCAATGTACCCACATACAGATACACATTTTACTGCCTTCACCGGCATACAACCATACACGCATACATATTTTCACACACACAGAGCACAAGCCCCACTAACCCTGCACAACCAGATACGGGGTCTCCAAAAAGCACCCAGTGCTCTGAGAACGATACTCTCACAGCGCGCTTCCAGCAGCTTCCCAAAATCACACACACTGCAACAGCAGCAAGGAGAGGATCCAGTTCCAGGGAGGCATTCAGCAGTGCTTAAGCAACACAGCTTTTCTCTCTCCTGCTCCAACTCCCTGCCCCTATTCCCCAGCACATTTCCAAATTGGCTCAATTTTGGTGGATTTGCATGGGAACTGCAAAAGAGACATCTGCCAAACATCAAGTCATTGCTCCCAAGAGCAGGGGCAAGGCAGCTTAGAAGGGAAAAAATGGTCACTGTGCTTTCAGTTTTATTTTTTTCAGTGTAAGAACTGTGTATTTTCTCAGCCTCGTTCTCCACAACAGCTGAATTGTTTTCACTGGAGCATTCCCAAGCAGCACATCCCTTTGCAGACAACTCGCCGAAACGATGTTTGACAAAATAGAAGCCACTGAAAATAAGGTTTTCAAACACAGAGCACCTGCCAAGCTTTTAATAATGACTATTTCCATCAGCCCCAACTGCACCGACCAGCAAACTGCTGGCCAAACAGCAGAGAGGTTTTACATCAACAACCATCTATTCCCACAGGGAAATTGTGGCTGGAAGATGCTTAGAAACCATTTACCTTTCCCAGATGGAATCTGCATTGATCTCCTTTCTCTCATTACCTACCTTAATTTGCAGTTTTGTTGCACTGTCTAATTAAGGACACATGTTCCTTTGGATAAAGATCTCAACATCTTGCTCATCCATAAAAGTTACTCAGCACAGACGCTGCCTTGCAAGCAAAACCATTGATTTTAGCCACGAAGGTACCAGTTTCACATGAGCATCCTAACAAGTGCATTTAAGCAAAATTCTCTTTAAGCATCCTTGTGTTCATGCATGGATCCCTCACAGCAGGGTTTCTGAGCGAGCAGAAGATGAATGCTTGTTGTGATACACAGTATTTCCATAATCAGGATTTCATGTTACTCAAAAGCAGTTATTTTTTTTTCTTAGAGTCTCCAGCAATCCCTGAAACACGTACAGCTTGGGACAAAGGAGATGGTGAGCAGTTGCACACCCTGTGGTATCTCAGGGGTTGATGAAAAACAGCAGGGAGACTCTCCCAGACACCTTGCTGCCTGTATCTGCCTCTCCATATCCACGGCCCATGAAATCCCATACTGCACAAACCCAGGGGCAGCTGAGCTAAATGCACTGAGAGCATACAACAAAGAGACAGAGAGCTCTGTGAAGGATGCAGATACAACCTGACACTGCTGGTCCTTTGGGCTCCTTCCTTTTGGCAGCAGGGATCTCCATGAGGTCCCATCAAAGAGAAATGACTCAGGCAAGTGATCTTCCTGAGGGTGATGGAGAAGCATGGGCTCTGTAAGGCTTAGGGATAAGAACATCAAATCAAGGCCTGGGAAATCCGTGATGCCCTTAGGAAAATGTCCTGGTAAGGTCTTACAGTGCTAAGTCCTGCCTCTCTACCACAAACTCAATGGTGCTGGAAGGAGCTGAAGATGCAATGAACATCAACAACACAAAATCAGGGAACAAATGCTGGCATCCAGTAAACTGACCAATGCATTTAGACAGCAGCAAGCTACTAGCAAGCTGGTGAGCTCCTGGCAACCCGCTCTTAAGCCCTGCAGCTTCCACAGCAAGGCAACAGCAAGAGAAGACAGAAGGTCAGTCTGCAACACTGTTAGCCCAGGGCCAACACTTATGTGCTAGCTGCCTTCCACAGGAAAGCAGGAGCATTTGTGCTTGTCTACAGCTTCCCAGGTTAGAAGGAAGCCCTCAGAGCACATCTCATTTACAAGCAAAACCAGACAGCAACTTTATGGTCACTAAGCTACCTGCACACAGCAAGCGCTGCAAAATCTGCAAGGACTTCCGATTTGCTGTTATTAACACATCCTTTGTATTAATCTTCCCCAAGTGCAAATTTATGTATGACCCTCTATTGAAAACCACTGTAACTCTCTCCCTGAACATACCTTGGAGCTTAAACACATGAAAGCAGAGAGCCTGAAGAGGCTGATGAGAATCATTTGCCAGTACATTGGGAAGGACAATCTGGTTTTATGGGACATTTTATAGTATGTCTTTCCAAATTAAAACTACAACAGTTTCCAGATGGAAGCTGCACCATTTCAACTTCAACCTTAAAAATACTTTGTTGTTGTTGTTGTTGTTTTTAAAAACACGCAAAGCTTCAGGAAATCTGAGCCCACTGAAAGGCTGGCAGCTCCGTGCATTGCTCAGAGAAGACTCAGACATGATGGCACAAACCCTGACACATTTTTTTGGTCAAAGATTCAAATAATGAGAAAAGTTAGTTTCAGAACAGCAGCAAAGTTTGCCCTTATTTCTACAATGCGTGCATCAGACTGTGGAAAATTTCCTTACAAAGCTCCAGGCATCTACACAGGCAGCTGGAGTGGGAAATGTATTCCCTTGCTCACAGTGTGCTAATCCAGTGACTCGGAGCTAAATAGCTTGCTTCTGCAAATTGATTATTTTATTTTTTGAAGTGTCCCATATAGATGTAACGTGGCTCTAATACACTTTCCAAGTCACAGCTTTTTCCCAGGAAGCAACGACTAAAGCTTGAATGTAGCTTTTAATTTGCATCATCAATGCTTAACGCAGACAATAGTCTGGCTCATCCCTTCATGCTTGTTCTGGTGCTGGAAAGGCAACAAAGAACAGAGTATTTTTGTCAAGCACTTGCAAATGAACAGAATTGGAGAAGATATGGGAGATGAAGCAGGGTCTTTACTTACTTCTGAGAGCATGCAAAGGCAGAATCTGGCACCATCTGCATATCATAGAATGGCCTGGGTTGAAAAGGACCACAATGATCATCTAGTTTCAACCCCCTGCTATGTGCAGGGTCGCCAACCACACGAGCAGGCTGCCCAGAGCCACATCCAGCCTGGCCCTGAACGCTACCTTGCAGAGATGGCACATGTTCCTAATTTGTTAAGGACAAACGCAGAAATGGTTTCACCTACAGGGCTGAAAAGCACAGGTCACCTTCCCTTGACCAGGCAGCTCCAGCCACCTGTCCTCATTCCTTCCTCAGGCACTTCTCATCCCATTCCTAATGCTGCCCTTACTCTGATTTCTGGCTCCTTCCCAAACCCTCTCTCTCCCCTCCTCCCTTCTCTTTGGTGTCGTTGCCAACACCCACTTCCAGTCTCCATTACAGTTTCTGCTGGGTGCAGAGATCCTCCTGTTACAGCTGATCACAACAACACTGCCTGTGCATTGCATTAAGGGAGGATCAAGTTATGCCACAGCTCATCAAAGCCCACGACACTGTCAGTAACCACTACCAGAGCTTTCACTCTGCCTGATGGAAGAGAAAACCACCTTGGCCATTTTAGAGAGGCCAACAAGGAGAACAGTTTTGGTTGTAACAGGATCTCATAACAGAGTAAAAATTGTGCTGTCAACACAAGCAGGACTCACCATGCTGGAGAAGTTTTCCTTTTTCCAAAGGATTTCAGGCAGCACAGTCAGAAGCAGAAGCACCACCTTATCCCACACCTGTTCCCCAAATTACTCTCCAGACGTGTGCTCCTGGTTGATCTTGCCAGTGGGTCTATCCTGTACTCATAGATCTTTTTATAAAGTGATTACAAATGCTTCTTTCAAACAGTGTAACATCAATCCCAGGGACAGAAAGCTCTCAGTGGTTGCTATCTCCCTGCCACGCCATGGCTTCCCCTGAACCCATCCTTTGCTAGATGGGGCACTGAAGGAGATCCGTAAGCAACATGCTCCCAACTCAGGTAACCACAACAGAAAGTGCAGGTGTCCAGATTCACTTCTGCATGCTAAAAATCTCAGGACACTTCAAGACCATAATAAGAATACTAGTTACAGATATTTAATGTGATGATTTGACAGGCTGAGGGAGCTGGGCTTGTTCAGCCTGGAGAAAAGAAGGCTGCGGGGTGACCTCATGGCAGCCTTCAGTACCTAAAGGGAGCCTACAAACAGGAGGAGAGATAACTGCAGGACAAGGGGAAATGGCTTTAAGTTGAAGGAGGGAAGATTGAGGTTGGATGTCAGGGGGAAGTTCTTTACTATGAGAGTGGTGAGGTGCTGGAACAGCTGCCCAGAGAGGCTGTGATGCCCCGTCCATCCCTGGAGGTGTTCAAGGCCACGTTGGATGGGGCCCTGGGCAGCCTGGGCTGCTATGAAATGTGGAGGTTGGTGGCCCTGCATGTGGCAGGGGGTTGGAGCTTCATGATCCTTGAGGTCCCTTCCAACCCAACCATTCTGTGATTCTGTGAAAAGCAAATTATCATAATGAACCTCTGTCTCTTTCAGATAAGTAATTTCAGAACAATCGAGATCATGGTGATAGGGCTGAAATACAGAATAAGAATGTTGAACACTGATCCCACGAACAGAGCTGGGGAATACCTCCTCATGATGCTTTGCCCAGAAAAACATCCCCATTCCTCCTCCATGCACTCAAAAGGAGGATCTGCAGTATTCATTATCTACATTTGATGGCATACAGAGGGAGCAGTACAGGAAATTTTTATAAAAGATTCAGAGCAAAACCAAGTCCTGCAGCCCTGAAGATGATTTAGTGGCACAAGGGTGGTGAGGTGGTCTTTCTCAACGCGCATTTGTGACACTTCATATAAATAGTTTTGTATAATGGCAAAAAATGTCACACAGGGGAAAGAGAAGTCATTTAGGAAGTCAGCTGTGGGAAAAGGGATTCTTTATGACTTCTACCAGATATAAATTTCCTCTGTCAAATCCAGCAGGAGAACACTAACGCTTTGTTGGGTGAATGAAAGAACTTGCCACGGACGTGGGACAAAAGACCTCCGCAATACTGAGGCTGCTGGAGTGCTCCAACTCTGTCCACATAGCCTTGACTTCTCCAGCCACTCTTGCAGCTCCCAGGAGTTACCATAAGTTACCAGTTACCAACCTGCTGGGACACGGCAAGGGGAATTCGATCACAGAATCAGTAAGGTTGGAAAAGACCCCTAAGATCCTCTAGTCCAACCATCCACCTACACTGGTATCGCCCACTAAAACACATCCCTACGTATCACAGCTGCCCTTTCTTAAACACCTCCAAGGGTGGTGACTCCACCACTTCCCTGGGCAGCCTGTTCCAATGCATCAGCCCTCTTTCTGAGAGGAAAAAAGGAAGGAAAAGCTCAGATTGCCAGTGTGAGAATGGGCTGATAAAGCTGCACTGCAGTTAATGAGGATTTCCTGCTTTTGAAGCTGCAAAAGCAGTTTAGGTTGTTGGGGTTTTTTTTTCTTTTCTTAGGAACTAACTCAAAACGTCAGCACGAGTAGCAGGAGAAGGAAGTAAAAACAAAGAAGAAAGTGCAATAGATTATGGCACACAACCTCCACCTACAGTCTGAACCTGTCTCCTCATCTGTCATTCTTCATTTCGCCTTCTCTTCCTCTGCTTCCAGCTCCATTCCTCATGCAGCTCCTCCAGCCTCGGTCCTCTCCCTCCCATCAGAAAAGCCTAACCCATGATTCAGAAGACACCAAGCACCAAGGATACATTTCAATGGGCACCAAACTGATAAACTTACTAAAAGAGACAGTGAGCTGCCACATTAAACATAGCAGACAGGGGTGTTGCTGTTTACTTCACCATAAGACAAGAGAGCTTCACCATCACTACTTAATGTACAACACAGATTACCTGAACCTCTAGATATCAAGAAGCAGTAATTAGGTAAATTAAGGCAAGAAAGAGCTAAATAATTTGCCCATGGCCACTGGACAGAGACAGAGGAACGGTTGGCATTTAGGAGACTCTTCTTTACAGCTTGGTCCCAAAGCCCTAATGCAACCCCAGAGATCAGTTCAGGAGCTGTCAGACAAAGCATTAGCATCCCAAAACGTGAGAATCTCCAAACCACCAGTGGGGAAAGCTGTGGAACAGCCAAAGCCAACTTTCTCCCCGCTCCTTTCCTCTCCACCCACAAAGCCAGGAGTTCTGCTGGCTGAGTGATTTCAGGAGAGATGGAATGAATGGTTGACTGAGAACAGGCAGAAAAGCAAACAGAAGTCCCTCACCCCCCTCGTGCTCAGGTCTCAAAGAACTGAAGGCTGAAGGAAGGGTCATTTGTTTGGCTGGGCTGCCTGAGACACGCCGTACAGTACAAGCTCCTTTGTGAGCGAGCAAAGCTGCAGACAGAAGGATAAAATAAAGCCTTGCAGGCACTGCGGCAGCAGGAGGCATTGCCAGAGATGTCACAGCCCTGCTCTGGAAACCCTGCTGCTGTGCATGGGATGAGGAAGCTGCCTGGCCCCCAGGCTTCTGGAGAAAGCACCGCAGGGAGCAGAGCAGAGCAGGATACACTTACAGGATCAGAGTGCCTACGGCTCAGCTGCCCTGGTACTCCAAAAACCCTGGAGACAAGAGTAACTAATTAATAAGCAGTCATGGGATGTAAGTGAGCAGTTAGATATTTAGGATTAATTTAATTACTTCGGCCTCAAACGCATCCCAAAATTATACCAGCAAGAGATTCTCCTTCCAGCATCCCCCTTGTACAGCAATACTCATTACCTGCCCCCAGCTCGGGTGCAGCTCCCAACACTGCCAACAGTAGAGCTTTCCTTGGGAGAGGTTTCTGGCAGCCTAGCTGATTTTCAACATTAAGATGTAATAAAAAAGGAAATTCATGAATTGGCTGCAGTAATTTGAGGAAGATTTGTGGCCATAGCAACATTACTATAATCTATGCTGCAGGGAACAAAAGGTACTTTGATCGTGTTGTTCCCTACCCTCTCCAGCCCTCCCATAATGAGAGACATTGGCATCCAGACACTCTCCAGTCCCCCAGAAGCCCATGTGTGCTCTCCCACTCACTACTGCTGACTTGAAATCACTGAGCCAGGAGTAGATAACAACATAACTCTTGGCACAATCTCAACCTTATAAAACCATGTTTATTGCTGGCCTGTGTCACACAGCTGCTGCCTTCCTTCCTATCGCTCACCATACAAGCTTAATCTCATATTCACCTACAGCATCTGGAATCTCACATTCACTTCATGCCCAGCCCATGTCCTAACAGAGGCCTGACTTCCCTTCAGGCCTGCAGGCACTCCTGTAAGGAGAACAATAAAAAGAAATGCTGAGAAGTAAACCCAGCGAGCTGCCTGCCTGCTCTATGTGCCTCCTTTATCTGCTCACCAAGCCAAATGTAGGTGGACATTAATATCCTCCTCGTTCTTAGCTCTGCAAATCAGGGGTAGCTGCCTCGTGCTTCCTGCCCCCCAGAAACAACATCTGGGCTCTTCATGGTCATTTGAGCTCTTTTCCCACAACGAGGAGCCTGGAATGCAGAAAGGTGGAGCACTGAAGGGGAAAAGACAGCAAACTTCCCAAATTAGTAGCAAAGAGCACAGGGCTGCAGTAATTCTACAGCTGGGATAGCTCAGCAGCAGCGATTGCAATCTGTCCACTTAATTTGGCCCTGCAGTTTCTATTAGAAGCACGCAGGAGGAAATTCCTGTACAGCAGTCACAGTGAGGGGTGTTGGGTGACTGGGGCTTTATTCCCAGCTGTGTCTCAGACCTTCCGTGCAACCTCAGGGAATTCGCTTCGTCTGCTCCGGTTTGCAGCATTCCTCAGGAACTCACAGGGGATCTGAACAGAATGCTACAAATAGCAACTGAGGCTACGAATGTAATCAAGAGCAACTTCCTGTTCAGAAGGACGTAAAGCATCTTACAAATTTGCCTGTAACAAGACCAAAGGACTTAATTACACAGAATTGATCCATCTGGTCCCTTCAACCATCCCACCTGGATAGGAATTCAAGGAGATGCTCGTGCCAAGCCATGCCTGTAGCCCCACACTACCACGGAACTTAATCTGGGAACTAATTTCTCTTGATGGTCTCAAACGATGACTTAGGAGACACAAAAAAAGTAACAATAATAATCCAGTATCTCTTGCTAGTCTGGGTTAAATTATTTCATAGCTTTCAAACTCCAAAATAAAACCTGGGTGCAGGAGTGGGACACGCCAGGAGCATGCAAGAACTCTCTGTGAAACCCTCCTGGCCTCTCTTCTTCCATCAACCCCAAACTGCATGGTTCAAGAAGAAAAGAATAAAAGGAAGGAGGAGAGGAGTGCTTATTTCTTGTACTTTGGTAATGCAGCTTTGGCATTTGAAATTCTGTTAGAATTGAATGTATCCTGGCACTGGGCACCTTATCCTAGCTCATCTTTGAGGTAATCTGGAAAGAAAAGATGCAGAAGTGGAAACCCACTGTCAGTATGCACACTCCCACCTCGCTTTATGTATCCAAACCTACCTGCAGCACAGCAATCCAACGAGTTACTCACAGCATGTTTGAGTTACAGGATTCACAGCTCAGAGCTTTGCCAGATCCCTGGAAGAAAGGCAGCAGAGCACTGCCTCGCAATCATGTCAACCATCACGCGCCAGTCTGAAGGCAGAGCACAACTCTGCAGTGGTCAGAGAACAGACAAAGCTGTGCTTTGCTTCCAGGGTGTCACGAGTACCACTTGGCAACACTGACCTACTGTGCTGCACAGCATCTGACACTGCCTCCTCCTGGGCTCCTGCTGTGTACAATTCCCACAGCTCTGAAATGGCTCTGAGAAATTCACTGTTAAGAATACAGCATTGCTGGGGCTTTCCAAGACCGCCCCAGGTGCTGCTAAAATAATTGGTACTATTGCCTCTGGATTTGGTGAAGAGAGAACTGCAGCAAGGTGGAGTATGGGAAATCCCCAAATCACCCCAACACCTGACTCCACATCTATGGAAGGTGTGAAGTTAAAGGTTGGCCCTCATCTGTTTGTTTTGGCTTTTTTTTTTTTACAGTTATGGCTTTGAGTCAAATTCAGAAGTTCAGTACAAAGTCAGATTTTGCAAAAGGCTCGGTGATAGCTCCTTCATAACAGAAAGCTAAGCAGAGGCTGACTAATTTAAAGAGCAGCCCAGGATGCCCACCATTCCTCTTTCACAATGTGCAGCATCACCAAACTCTAGGAACAGACCCTGCACAGCACCACTTCTAAGCCCAGGAAGCCCAGCAGGGTTATCTTTTCCCATTTGCAAGCCAAGAACCTCTGCCAGCTTTTCAAAGCCAAGTTTCCCAAACACCAGCCATGACTTCTGACTCAACACTCCAGTAGCAGATTCCTCCTCTACCCCAGCTGGTGGTGTGATGTCTCCTCACACGCACAACACCCGCTCATCAGAAATGAAGCCCAGTGCTTTATAGCATGAAACAGACTTTGCAAACACGTGAACTAACCATGCAAAATAACCATTTGTTCAGGCTCAATGCACACCAGCCCACTCTTTGGCAGAACAGCAGTAAAAGGCAGTGCAGGAGACTTGTGGGGATTGCTGCAGGGTGGAGAGGCACAACTGCAGCCTCTTCCATCAGCAGAGGGGTGGCCAGCAGGGACAGGGAGGTGATTGTCCCCCTCTACTCTGCCCTTGTAAGGCCCCATCTGCAGTGCTGTGTCCAGGTCTGGGGACCCCAGTACAAGAAAGACAGGGAGCTGATGGAGAGGGTCCAGAGGAGCAACAGAGATGATCAGGGGACTGGAGCACCTCCCCTATGAAGACAGGCTGAGCTGAGAGCTGGGCTTGTTCAGCCTGGAGAAAAGAAGGCTGTGGGGTGACTTCAGTGCAGCCTTCAGTACCTAAAGGGAGCCTACAAATAGGAGGGGAATCAACTCTTTGAAAGGGGTGATAACAGCAGGACTAGGGGAAATGTTTTCAGTTGAAGGAGGGAAGATTGAGGTTGGATGTCAGGGGGAAGTTCTTTATCATGAGAGCAGTGAGGTGCTGGAACAGCAGAGAGGCTGTGGATGCCCCGTCCATCCCTGGAGGTGTTCAAGGCCAGGTTGGATGGGGCCCTGGGCAGCCTGGGCTGCTATGAAATGTGGAGGTTGGTGGCCCCGCGTGTGGAGGGGGGTTGGAGCTTCATGATCCTTGAGGTCCCTTCCAACCCAACCATTCTGTGATTCTGTGAAAAGCTTCAGCCAAGTCTGGATGCTTCTCAACACTGTCCACCAGTGAGCTGCCCAGCACCAACAGCAAAGCCGTAATTAAGGAACAAGAACTTTGGAGACAATGCACACATGTGAATGAATGCTCACAGATCAAATGAATTCTACATTTCCCTTAATCCCAAAATCTTAAGCTTTCATAGAATCAGTAAGGTTGGAAGAGATCTCCAAGATTACCTAATCCAATCCTCAACCCATTACTACCATGCCCACTAAGCTATGTCCCCAAGTGCCACATCCCCATGATTCCTGAACACTTCCAGAGACAGCAACTCATAGAACCATAGAATCACAGAACGGCCTGGGTTGCAAAGGCCCACAATGCTCATCCAGTTCCAACCCCCTGCTGTGTGCAGGTCACCAACCAGCAGCCCAGGCTGCCCAGAGCCACATCCAGCCTGGCCTTGAATGCCTGCAGGGATGGGGCATCCACAGCCTCCTTGGGCAACCTGTGCCAGTGCCTCACCACCCTCTGGGGGAAAATCTTCCTCCTCATATCCAACCTAAACCTCTCCTGTCAAACTCCATTAACAGAGAACAGAACTGTATTCCATCAAAGTGCCTGCATTTCGTACTGCACAGAGAAGCTCTGCATGGCCTTCAATTTTGCACTGTGCACTTTGTACAACAGACTTTTCCAAAGAACTGCAGAACTGTCACATCAGAGGGAAACTCGGGAACCTTCACATGCAGAGACATTTGGAGAGGGGCAATCCCATTAAGGATGACAGAGACTTGATTAATTCAGGTTCAAGCTCAGTCTTCACATTCATTCAAACTGGGGACAACAAACCCAAATCCAGACTTCGGTCAGATGCAGAATCATAGAATCACAGAATCACCACGGTTGGAAAAGCCCCAGAGGATCACCCAGTCCAACCATGCACTGATCACCAATAGTTCTCACTAAACCATGCCCCTCAACACACACTTTGATTCCCAATAAATAACCCTCATGACTTGACTCCTATGCAAAACACTGAGTTTTGGTAGGGTTCAGTTTTTGTCCTTATTTCAAAAGTATCAGCATCTCCACTGACAATCAGTGGGGTCAGCTAACCAGAACAGACAGCAGACCTGTACACAGCACTTGCTGAATATTACACACAAGTACCTCTCTCCATGCAAAGCTGCTCCAAGCAGTCACTTCCCCACAATCCCATAGGGCCCTGGTACACAAATGCTGTCTGTAACAGTTTGCTCCTTCAGCCATGATTTTTTTTATTAATTAATTTATTTATTAATTAATAAGAAATGCACGTATATGAAAGGCAACTTGAAGATATGGAAATGACCTAAATAATGGTAATTTCCTGGTAATTTCACATACCTCTAGAACTTGCAGTACCTCAAGCAGTCAGCACACACTGGTCACACAGATAACAGCTGGTGGCTTTTAACTTTGCTATCTGAGACATCCTTTCCATTGTGCACATCTCTGATAAGCACCCAGCTGTTGCAAACAAGAACCACGAGGCTGAAGTCTCAGATCTCTTTTGATTTTACTCAGCTTCCAGTGGGAGAAGGTCTCCAGACTGCACAGACTATGAAGAAGCACTGATGTGAGTAAAGCCAGCCACAGAGACCTGCTTTCAGTGTGCAGAGCCCCACACCATTTAAAGAAGAAATCACATCCCAGAAAGGTGCACGTGGAAGTTGGAAATACAGCGTTATCATGTGGATCTGAGCCAACAAGGAGACAAAATTGTGTTTGCAAGTGGAAATTGAATATTCAGACTTCCATGGGAAATTCCTATTCAACAGTACAGAGGAATAAAAATACCCACTTTTCACACATTTTATCTGTTAGTCTCAACTGCATCTGGTTCTGCTAACACAAGATGTTTTACGTGCCTCAAAATGAATTGCAAACAAGTTTCATTGTCAGGTACTTCACCAAACAAACAAAAAAAAACAAGAGAACACTAAAAAGCTGAACATTTCCTCAAAAAAAGAAAAACAACCAACAAAACAAACAGAAAAACCAACATTTTTTGTGAAGTCTCCAAGTTCCAGTCATAATATATGAAGAAACTGAGGCTGCCTCATGACCAGGACTTGTAGTTTAAGCTCTCTGGTGAACCAGTTTGTTTGGCTTCCCCATGTTTTCATTTCACTCTAAGCACCAATTGCACTGGCAGGAATGGAATTTGCCAGGATTACATATTTGGAGGTATAGAAAGGCAGGGAAAAAAATCTGTTCTGTGATAGGCAAAGCCAACATAAAAATAGAGTTTTAAGGCTGCTGACTGGGCTACAGAGCAATTTTCTAATGAAGGAAGACAAAGTAATACCTTTGTATTAAATCCAACAAGAGAAACTATAACAGAGAACCCTGCCGAGACCAAATTATTACCAGGAAGCTGAATGGCAATACTGCTGCACACTGCAACACAAACAGAGGTGGCCCCAAGAACAAGGTCCTATCTGGGAAGACAGTGCCTCAGTGGGAAGAGCTCAGACCCTACGCAGACCGATGACAGAAATGAAAACACACAAGCAGATAAATGACAGGGGGCAAGGACCAAAACCAGTGGCTGTGTCTACAGCAGTGTATTATATCTAAACAGAGCTGGTCCAAAAAGCCCCACACTAAGGGTCAGGGAATGGCACAGGCTGGGGACCTGATGGACTTCATTTTAATGCCCTTAAGTGGACTTGATGACCATTAAAGGTCCCTTCCAACTCAAACAATTCTATGAGATGACCCTTCTCACAAGCAAGTGCCCTTAAACAGCCTTCAGGCTGTCTAATAGAGCTCATAGAGCTCCCTACAGCTAGCCTCACCTGAGGGACTTCCAGGTGAACTGCCCAGCAAGAAGTGCCTGTGGATGGATATGGAGACAGTGTAAAATCATTAAGGTTGGAAAAGACCTCCAAGATCGCCAAGTCCAACTGCCAACCCATCACTAAACCACGTCCCTCAGTGCCACATCTCCACAGCTCTTGAACAGCTCCAAGGACAGTGACTCCACAAACCTCCCTGGGCAGCCTGATCCAATGCTTGGCCACTCTGCTGGAGAATAAATTTTTCTTAGTTTCCTATCTGAGCCTCCCTTGGTGCAACTTAAGGCCGTTACCTCTCATCCTAGGAGACAACGTTCAGGGAAATCCTTCCATCTTCCAAATACACGTTAGCTTTTTGAGCATTTGCTCCCATCACACTGACAAGAAATACACAAATTCCCTGTAAGAGTGAGAAAGAAGCTGCTTCACATCCCCCTTTGTGGGCAGTAACTGTTCTCTGGGGGATTAGACAGGACTGCACTTATCACCTGCCACACAGCAACCTGCACACTCTGATACCATCACGGCACAAGAAAGCATTCACTCCCAGGGCCCCTGCCAACAGGCCACCACTGATGACTAAAACACACTCGATAAAAATCAAAGATTTGAGAAAATCTCTTCTTTGAGCAGTTCAGGAGGCACTTCAAGGTCTCTGCACACTGCGTACTCCAGCTTTACTGCTGAGACACCGCAGCTTGAGGGGAACAAGCATTCTTGGTCCCAAGAGCTTTCAGCTTTTAACTGATAATTCCCTGTCCTCCTGCCTGTGAAAACACTTGACCTATAGGGCCATCAAAAAGTCCTGACTTGAAGAACATAAGAGGGGAAAAAATGAAGCGAATGCTTCTTTTCTTCCCCCAAATGCTCTGAAACCAACCCAGAGCACCAGGAACCACAACACTGTCCATCCTCTTACCCACCGTTTTAAGTCTCCCTGCTCTGTCTTAAAATGCTCATGGTGCAGCACTGGGTGCAGAGGGCTAAAACCCTCTGGGAAGTCCTGGCAATGCCATGCTGTCCTGCATGGAACAGGCTCTGTAAGCACCGAAAAGCAGCAGATCCAGCTGACTCATCACTGTAATTATTTTTTAGTGCTTACAGATGAGAGAAAGTCAAGAAGGAACATAAGCTCCTGCAGCATGGTTTGCACAGCCTGAGGCGCTTCCTCCAGCACAAAGGGAGCAGGTACACAAACAAATCCAGCTGCGTTCCCTTTAATAGCTAAACAAAAAGGACTGAGAGAATTGAAACGTTTAAAATTTAAAAACCAGGTTCAGATCAATCTGAATCATCAGGCTGATTAAACCACATTTAATACACTCATTTAACCTTTACCTAATAATTAAATAATGAACTCATTAGGGAAGGGAGCGGTATAATTTTAATCCTCATGACAAAAGAGCATTATCATGTCTGTGACAGCTGGTAACTGCATACAATGGCAATGCAACTCACAAGCTTCACATATCTACTCACTGCCTCAAACCAACGCTGAGACCACAGCTCTCCATGCAAACCTAGGCTGCCCAGACAAGCTAGAGGCATGGAAAGTCTCAGCTTACAAAACAATCCTCTGCAATCTAAGGAGATAATCTGTTAAAGTTCTGTAACGTGTTTCAGTAGATGAGATTGCTTCACGATCAAACAGACAAGGTCTAACATTAAGAGAATGCATATGTGCTTTTTATAGAGAGACATGTTATTTAATCTGTGATACTTGAGTGAAGTTGTAGGTCTCTCTCTCACGATCACGCACTTACCTAACAGCCATCTGCTGGAGATCAGCTGGAGTACAAGTGCTCCCCTCCCAGCAGAAATAGAAGAATGAGCAAGATTTTGAAAGTCAATACATAGAAAAAGAACAGCAGCTTGAGTTGAGGAAAATTGCCCCAATTTCATTTCTTCCGAGTGCCTGCAAAAGCAGCATCTCTGCCCTTCACTCAAAGATCCCCGCGCTTGCTTTTCTCCTTCATCTCCACTTATTGATTTTACAAGGAAAATCAGGATGGGAGCACTTGCCAGGAAGGATGAATTATGTGGGGAGATTCAAGAGGTTCAAAGCCAACTTGCCCTGAGAACTGAGAACCAAGTTCTAAATAAGATTACTCAGCCTTGAGTTCACAAAATAAAAAGCATTTTCCAGGAGAAAACAGACCCACTCAACCTTTCGTTTGGTTTTGAGTATTTTTGGAGCGTTTTCAAAACCTTTACATTCCACAGAAACGCTCACTTTCTCTCCTTGTAGATTTCAGAAGACACACAAACAAAAATTGCAATTTCCTAAAAGC